CAAGTTTAATTCCTAATAAATAACAACATATTTTCTTTATCAGTTTTTCATCTGTTCCAGTTAATATCTAATCCAATTCTATTAATTCTTTATTAAAACCATACATTTTAGCATCTTTTTCATATCAAGATTGTAACTACTTTTGTGGCCACATGCAATGTCCATCCCTTGACTACTAAATTCCTGCTTGGTTTTTAATTCCCCTTTTTCATTCAGAATATCTTTATATCTTACAATTTTTCCATATTAATAACATTTGGATGTATCAGTGCTTTCAATTGTGGAAAGCCAGACTGGTATTTTCAAATAATGTTGTTATTTCATTTTAAGCTATACTGTTAACAATGCATTTCTAGCGTAATGTCTTTGAAAATAACTATGTATTTTATTCTTCCCATATCATAAACAAGCATGCCAACCTAGTTGATGGTTATGCCCTTCTAAAGTTAATACCTTTATGCCTCAAATTGATCCATTCTTTCACCCATGTAAGTATCGAGGCCTGGTAGTACAATTTCCAATCTGGCAGCCTAAAGCCCCCTCTTTTTTGGCGGGGGGGGGGGAGTTTTGCAATATTTTCAAATCTAGTCTTGCTTTTTTCCTTAGCTAGTTATATCTTAATATTATTTTATTTAATTCTTCAAAATATCCCCCCCCCCCAAAATTTTTATTGGAATTGTTTGGAATAAATACAATAACCTTTGTAAAATACTAATTTTTATGTAGCTATTCTTCTTCTTAATGCCAGTTGCAAATCTTTCCATTTCTCCAAATCTAGTTTAATTTGTTTTGTAGTTCCATATAATTGTCCTCTTTAATTGTTGCACATTTTGCTCTTAGCTGTATTCCCAAGTACTTTACTTTTTTGACTATCTGCATATCAATTCTTTCCATCAACACTTTTTTGTGTATCTGTGAGATTTTTAACTAAAATCTTTGTCGTGTCTTTGTTTATTTTCAATTCAGCAACTTCCCCATACTCTTCTATCTTTTTAATTAACTTCACTCCAGTCTCTAATGGGTCTTCTAGACCAGGGGTCACCAACCTTTTGGACCTCAGGGACCACCAAACTCATAATTTCAATCCTGCGGATCACTAGTATGAATTTTGACTGACGGTGGATTGCTGACGTTGGTGGGAAAGTCGGTCCCATATTCCAGAGCTGCAGTCGTCACAGGTCTGGCCTGTCATGGATGAGCTGCTCTGGGATGACCAAAGGGCCAGTCTTGTGACTACTGCAGCTCTGGAATATGGGACTGGCCCATGGTGGGGTTGCAAATCTCTGCCATAGGGGCTGGCATCTGTAATGTGCAAATTTGTGGGTGGTGCAACATGCAAAAAGCAGCACAGCCCTCGCTGACCAGGATGAGGTAATGGTACTGTTGCAGCAAGAGGGGGCTGGCAGCACAGGTGGGCTGAAGCAGCAATGAAGATGGCCAGAAGGTGTAGGAGCGCCGCGCTACTTGCATTTGTGTGGCACTCCCGCACCTTCCAGCTCACCTCTCCTGGCCTGAGCTCTTCCTCGATGGCCGTGGACTGTAGGGACCACACAGGGCAGGAAAAGTATCAGCTGGTGGTAGTGGGAAGAGGAGGAGTGGACAAGTCTGTGCTCACCCTCTAGTTCAGAGGCTCAGAATGGGGCAGAGTTGGTGTTAGTTTTCTCGTCCCTTTCATCCCACACAAGAGGACTTCCCAAGAGACGTCGGATTGTGTCTTCTGACCCTCTGGCGCTCGCCTGCAACTCTCCACTTTCCTCCAGGCCCAGCTTGCTGAATGGGGGGAGCAGCCGTGACTTCTCTGCTGCCCCCCCACCATCCATCCCAGTCATCGCTGCCTGGGGGAGGCACAAAAAAAGAAAGCGAGCAGAAACAGAAAGTGGCGTTTTTCAAAGGTGGCAGCTTGTGTCTTCTGTTGCCTGTGCCTTCCTCGATCTCAGCTCTTACGCCTCAGCGAGAGCTGTTTCTGCTCACTTTCTTTCCCTGTGCCTTCCCTGGGCAGCGATGACTGGGGCCATCCTCAGTGTGGAGGCTGAAGGGGGGGTGTTGAGCCCAGAAAAGATCAAGCTCTCACCTGCACAAACAGTGATGAGGCAAACTATGGGGCTTCCAAGGCACTCAGCTCAACCCAACCCGGAGTTTCCATCGGTCCCAGAACAAGCTGGCAGTGAAAGTCGGATGCCCATACCAAAAGTGCACTGAGGAAGATGTGCTCCTAATAACCAGGCAACACCCCCGCCTTCAGCCTCCACACAAGAGGAGTCCCCCGAGGCTAAGCTCCAGTTTTCTCCTGCCACTTCCAAGTAGAGAAGGGTCCCTCCCTTCAGGCCTCGAAGCCTCTCCCTGGAGTGCGTTTGTGCTGGGCTCTCCCCATGGGGTGAGGGCATCTCCCAAGGAGGCATCCACCCACCAGTATCAAGCCCAGGTCAGAGGAAGAGGAAGGGGTTATAAGTGCCTGGCCGTTGCGCTGCGCCCCACCCTTAGCAGAGCAGAGCACCGAGCAACTGATGCTGACGCCCCATTCCAGGCCTCTGAACTGGATGGTGAGTGTAGACTTGCCCACTCTGCCCCCTCCCACCACCACCAGCCAGTAATTTTCCTTCCTGTGGCCATTGAGGAAGAGCCCAGGCCAGGAGAGTGCTACGCAAATGTAAGTAGCATGATGCTTGTGCACCTTCCAGCCATCTCCATCGCCACTTCAGCCCGCCTATGCCGCCAACCCCCTCTTGCTGCAACAGCACCATTACCTCATCCTGGCTGGCGAGGACTGAACTGTTTTTTGCAGGTTTGCTCTCGGCCAGCGGGTGGGCAAGCCATGTGGGCAGTGCAGCCTTGTGTTCCCACGCAGCCTGGATTAATTGCTTTGGGTGGGACATTTCTCTACAGACCACCAAAATATTCTCATGGACAACCAGTGGGCATTGGCCCACTGGTTGTTGACCATCATTCTAGACCAAGTTGTCTGCAAATGCCTTCTCTCCATATATCTTAAATTCCTATTTCTTCTGTCATTTTAAAGAAGGACTTAGGGGAGCGATTTTCTAACGGTTTTACCTGTTTTGCTACTTTTATAGTCAAGTTCTGTATCTATAATTGCATTAACATCTCCTACCTTACAAATATTTCACATTCCAATTCTATAATTTTCTTACGAAATCTCCCATAAAACTCATCTTGGTTGTTATTAGGTGCTATTAACAATATCTGTTTTTGGTTCATTGTTACCTCCACCATTAATATTCTCCCATCTTCATCTGCAAAGATTTGTCTAGCCTTTATTGTTTCTTTAATATATAAAACCACCCCCCCTTTTCTTTTGTTGCACTAATTAAAAATATAGTTTCTCAATTTTGGGTTACTCTAATAGTTTACTATATTGTCTTTTAATATGTACCTCTTAGAGAGAAATTATATCTATTTTCAATTTTTCTAATTTATTAAAAATCCTTTTCCATTACCAGCTCAGCTGCGAAATAAATGAAATCATTATAAGTTAATTATTTTTCCTATGGTAAGATTCCAGTTTGTTGCTGGAGAGAGTTTTGCATCACTTTTCTTTTGAGCTCCTTTAGGTCCTTCAAGTCTCCTCTATCTGTATGTATTCATAGTTATATGAAGTTACTTTTTAAAATTTTATATTCAATATATTATTATGGTTGGTCACATAGCCAGATATTTGGACTGGATTTAGCATTTTTGTCCACCTTGGGTCCTTTCTAAAAACCTGGAATAGGCAGATGTGTGAAAGGTATCATCACAGAATGTAGGTGGTTCCAATTAAAGCTTCCTTTGCAATTGACCGATGGTGATTTTGTCAATGCCGATGATGTTCAAATGGTGTCCCAGATGTTTGGAATTGCACCTCTTGCCTATTATTACTGGTACTATCTTTGCTTTCTTTCACAAATAAAGGTGAATATAAATGTCCCAGCATAATGTTGCAGGATCCAATTGGGGTCGATCACTGATACCAAAGGTTTTGTCTTCTGAACTTTTGGACTTGTGATGGAATCCATCTTCAGGGAACTTCTCTCTTTGCTTTCTTTTGCCATAGTTGTCCTATATCTATTTTCAGGTCTTTGTATTTTGTGATTTTCTCCAGTTTTCTATTCTGTAGTCTCCAGATACCACAATGTCCATTATCTAGACTTTTTTGTCTTTCTTGTCATCAGTTGTTAAGTCTGAAGTATTATGTGGTAGGTACTTGTCTATTTAAATTCTAAATCGCAGAACACTTTAGCTTTTTCATAGAGGCCACTCCAAAACATTCTGGATACTTATAGCATACCATATGTACAGCTGAAACAGTCAAAAACATAACAAAACAGCCCAGACAAGAAAACAGTCATAACAATCAAAAGAACATTACAGTAGTTCTACAAAGATACTACTCTTCGATCTCAGGATAAAGTCAGGAAAGTGAAGATTATCTGTATCTCTTGGGGAGAAGCTCTTCTAGAGGGCAGGGCTACAGGTAGTCCTTGACTTATGACACAATTGAGTCCAAAATTTGTTGAGGGAATTTTCTCCATTTTATGATTTTTCTTGCTACATTTGTTAAATGAATCTTTGCAGTTGTTAAGTTAATAATATGTTTATTAATTGAATCTGGCTTCCCCGTTGATTTTGCTTGTTAGAAGGATACAAAAGTGATGACATGACTCTGGGACACTGCAATTGTCATAAATATGGGTCATTTGCCAAACATTTGAATTTTGTTCATTTGACCAGGGCATGCTGCAACAGTCACAAGTGTGAAAATCGGTTATAAGTAACTTTTTTCAGTGGTGTAACTTTGAACGGTCACTAAATGAACTGCTGTAAGTTGAGGACTACATTATAGTAGAGGAGGCATGTTTCCTCAGTCCCACAAGATTACCTTGTTCAGTTGAGGGTATCTAGAGCATATCTATTCAACCTAAACATATTGCTTGGGAGAAAACAATAGGAAACGGGAAACATAGATAATTATGTGTTGCTTTTGTTTTATCTTCATCAGCTGAAATGAATAATCAGAAGGAAAAATCACAGAAGAAAAATTCAATCTTAGTTGATGGAGTTATTTTAAATGGCCCGGTAGCAGATTCAAAATCAGGCGAGAAATTTGTGGAAGAGGTCAGTAAGATGATAATGGAAGAAGTGATAAAAAAAGCATCTGATGCAACTGAAAAGGTATTTTTTTTAATATAATTGGAGTAATATCTTCTAAGTACATGATATAATTGAAACTAATTAACTAAATCTATGTTTTTCAACCTGAGCAAATTTAAGAGATCTGAACTTCAACTTCCAGAATTCTCTGGCCAGAGTCCAGACTTCTTAAAGTTGCTCAAGTTGAGAAACACTGATCTAAATAAAGAAAGCAAATTATTAGCTCAGTAATCATATTCAGAAATATGTATATAAATACATTGCTACTGATAAATGTTAAAATACTTGTGATATAATACTCATAATTAAATGTACTGAATTTTTAATAACCAGAAATGTTTCTATATCATGCTTTTACTTCTTAATTTCTTGGATTTAGTAGTAGAAGAACTTAAGATCTTCCATGTTTGTGCTTAAATTATTTGTGAATCTAAAACATTTTGTAAAAACTATAAAAATTTTCACAGATATGTTGAAATTCTAGATTACTTAAATAACTAAACCAGATGTTTTTTAAAAAATAAATTTACAAGAGGATTTTAAAAATTATTTAGGGCACACTCTGATTAACTTTTAAATTCTCTCATCAACATTTCTTTCCAATGACTTCATGCAGGTGTGTGAATGGCAATCTCCTGAGAAACTGAGAACACTTCTTGACTTGGAATTGAAAGACACTGGAGAGAATCATCCCAAACTCTTGCAGTTATGCCAGGATGTTATACAATTCAGCGTCAAAACCTGTATGAATTTCATATTTCCAATTGCTTTTTATCCTTCCAATTGCACAGCAAGACTGCTCTTGCTTTTATTTATTTAGAAAAATGTAGCAATTTGGCTTTTCTAGCCAAATGCAGAAGTTGACATGAAAAGGAGTGGTATGTCTACATAAAAGATTACTTCAGTATTTTCATAATTTCATCTATACGATGTAGATCATTCATTTTTTTTTCAGTTCTCATTTAATATCCTGGTTAAATCAGGATAAATTCTGTTAAATCAGAATCTTATTTCAGATGTGACAATACTCTTTTTAAATAAAATAAAATCTTCATGTTGAAATTTTTGTGTTGAGAGAGAAAGAAGGATAAAATAAAATCTAAACACTCCTTCATGGTTTCATAAATACTTGGAGTTTACATCTGAAATGGACCACTGAGCTGGTCTAAAATTATTCCACCTTCATGGTGATTGCTGATAGATTTTCTGTCTCTCCTGCATCTATTACAATAATATAAAACATTACTCATTGCATGAATGGAAGTCCTACTGTAATGAGTTACTCTGAAAAAAATAGTGGTTGGTGATAATGGTGATTCAAAGCATGTTGAAAATTGATAAAAGTCACTTGCAAATGAATAACAAAATTTAATAAATAAAACTAGTGTATCATAAGTGAACTTTTTAAACATAGTGTGGAAATCTAGGCATAATTGTGACAAAGTGTGAATGCTTCCCTGGGAGTGGAATGAATTGACTGTGGTAATTGAAGAAGACAATTTGGAACATACAATGGCATTTGCAACAAAACATTTTACTGCTTATCTTCAAGCTCTGTTGAATAGCTATGTGAGTACATTTTTATTAGTTTTTTAAATTGAGTTTAGTGTCTACCTATGATTTGTTTTATTTAAAATTGTTTCCAACCTGTTTATTTTACTTAATCCTAGACAATTTATAGGAACAACAAATATATCCAAGGTCATTGAAATATATATGTGCAAAAATGTAAACAGGGTTGGAAATTCTAAATATAGAATTTAGGAAGCAAGAAGAAAAGGGGCCTGGAACCTAGTTGCAGACAAGCTAGCAGAGACAGATCAAAGATGTAATGTGATAGAAAGATTTTAAGACCATTGGATAACAAGTATACTTTTTAGTATTCCTGCTAATTTTAACTATACTAGACTATCTCCCTTTTTATGCTTTATATTTATACAGTAAATATGGATATAATTTGAAATACATTGGGGATCTATACAATATAAATTGTTTACAGAATAGAGATTTTTTTCAATTAGCCTCTTAGATTTCTAATTGCAGTTATTAATCAGCCCATACAGACAATATTCAACATTCTTTCCATGTTTGTTTGATTTGGGCTTAATATCTTAGGGGAAACTCAGACACTGAGATTTGTAATCCACAAGCCTCTGGCGTAGTCCAGTAGTTGGGTATGAGGCATTGGTGCCATATTCAATAAGCTGTGTTTTAGTTGTCAGAACCTGTAAGCATCTAAAGCAGTGGTTCCCAAAGTGGCGATACCACCCTCTGGGGGGGTGGGATGCCTTAAGGGGCACTAAGAGGCAAGGGGGCATTCAAGGCGCCGGCCCCGCAGGCTCACCCCATTGACTGTTGCACTGCTCCGTAGCCAGTGCCTCAAATGCGGCAGCAGTGGAATCTTATGTGCCGCTGTGGCCGCGTTTGATGCGCCAGCTCCGCAGGCTCACCCCATTGAGCCCCTTGCACCGCTCCAGTGCAACAGTCAATGGGGTGAGCCTGTGGGGCCAGCGCCTCAAACACACCCTGCACTACTAGAATCTAATCAGAGATGCTTTGCCGATTCTAGTCCAATGACCTGCTCCAGCAGGGTTGGAAGGGAGTGTGTGTCTATGTGTGTGCATGGCTGTCAAAACTCCAAAAACAGGTCAAGTAGCTCTGGGGACACCAGTCATAAATTAGAACACTTGCTGAACAACCGGCCATTAAGTGAGGACTACTTATATTTGGTTTGCCAGGCCACGCCTACCCAGTCACATGACCCACCAAACCACATCTACCCAGTCACATGACCAGCAAGCCACACCCACCCAGTCACACGACCAAACCGCATCCACCCAGTCACGTGACCAGCAAGCCACACCCTCAAATTAGGCCATGCCCACAGAAATTTGAATACCACCCCTGGGTGGGGGGCACCAAGGATGAGTTTGTAGCACCAAGGTGGTGGTGGACTGAAAAAGTTTGGGAACCACTGATCAAGAGTTACAGTCTGAGGCCAAGAGGAGATTTTAATACCTAAGATTAGCAACCCATTAAACAAGAATCAAAGTATTATCTTCAAAACAATGTTTATTTTTGTAAATAATGGGAGTGATCAAAAGGTTAAGTTCTTTTTTGGAAAGCTAGCTAATGGCTAGCTAATGAGAATTCACAGCAATTTTCTGAATATAATAAGACTGCTAAAGAATATTATTTAGTCAATATTTATATAAAAGGAGCACTTAATTATATAGCTGTTTAGAGGCCACTTTTATAAGAACATTGACCAATAATTCCTTTATCACTTAGCTTAACACATCTTTAAGTAAACTTTAAACAAGTTTACTTTGTTATTGAAAGAAAAAATATCTAGCCAAAGTACCCATTACACTATTCATTAATTGATGAAAGATTCAGAGGTAACATTTCTAAATTTATACTCTATTTTTGTTGAGATGAATCAAAATAGGTAGTCTGGGGTCTGATTCATGTTGTTTTTTTATCTGAACAATTATATATAGCTTTAAGATAGTTTTCTGATGCCATTTTATCTATTGTGTGAAGCCTTAAGCTATCTCTGTGTAAAATAACCTTTTCTAATTGCTTATTCTCTAAATGTATTGAAAAATACATAAAATAGGAATTATAGGAAAGTCAAATTCAAATCTTTTGTGATATTGTTTGTTAAATGATGGACCATTTATACATCTCTTAATATATTTCTGAAAGGGCTGACACTATTAAAATAAATAAAATTAATTAAAACTGAACATTTTAAATAGGTAACTTAAGCTCCATTCTTCCGGATACATAATTAAAATCTTCTCAACTAAATTTTTTTTGCATTATCAAATACAAAGTTGAAAATAATAAAATCAGGAAATAAATATCTTAGAACACATTCTCCCTTTAAGAAAAGGAAGCTCAAATTGGAGTAGATACAGAGGATTCACTCTCACGTTCAAGTTTCTCTGTGCCTTTCAATGTTTTCCTTTCTCTCCTTTGCTAACAATAAGGTTTACATTGTATAAGAAAAATCTGACTGCAAACACCTATTATAATGAAGAAGTTCTGAGTTGGGTTCATGCATCATCTCTAAACCACTACATTTTTTTAATTGTATTTTAATGTATGAGCTCTGCAGCTGCACCGTGGCAATATGTGTGAATTGGATTACATTATCTTTTTCAACGATCACTAGTGCTAATCAGATATATATCTTTGTCATCATTATTTACAGATCACCCAAGATTTTTTAATCAGCTCTATGCTGGTATTGATTATTACTCTTTAGCAGCACGTTTCATTATGGAGGCATTAAACCCAAGTGTGTAAGTGTATTTTGTTGAATTTGCAGTGCTGTTTAATTGTGGCAGATTCTATTTCCTTTAAATTTCTATTAATAACATTGATGGGGTGCATATTGCAGATATTGAGTGAATTGGTCTGTTAACTCCCTAGAGAGCCTACATTAAAATTATAAAGGATTCTTTGAATCTATTAATTAGAAGTGTTCTTTTTAATTGGTTCATTTTTAGTTCTTATTTTTCTTCTTTCCTTTAAAAGATTAAACGTTCTCTAAATATTTTTCTCTTTCATCTTTCCTGAGTTTATCTTTTCATAACTGTATGAAGCACTCTATTTAACCAGAAATCATTTGTTAACAGAGCAGTTAAATACAAGTGACCTTTTAGTGATGATATTTGGACCAGCAATATCATTAAACAAATTGGTAGCTAAGTGAAACCATGATGCTTATGCTTATTATTTTAGTTCAGTTTTCCTTATTTACAAACCAGTGAAAGTTGTAAATGTAAGACTTGGTCACAAAGTTACTTTTTCAAAGTTACTGTTGTAACTGCAAGTGGTTGAAAAATGAGTCAGTGACTATATGAGGGTGCATTGTGTCCATATGCCCAGAGATGGTATTCAGCCGGTTCAGACCGATTTGGGTGTACTGGTAGCAAAAATTTTGAGTAGTTCGGAAAACCGGCAAAGGCCATCTCTGACTGGCCCCGGCCACCTGCCCACACCCTTGCCCTTTCCTGCCCTAAATAAGGTTAAATACCCTTGTTTTTTAGCTCAGCTGATTCACGTAGCAGAGCAGATTGCTGTGCCTTAGCTGAGCTAAAAATAGCTCACCTGACCAGTGCTGACACCGAGAGTGGTCTTTGATTACTGTTCTGCGCCTGCGCAAAGCACTCTCTCATAGAACCAATCAAACCACTGGCTGGCCCCACCCAACCTGTCCAGTCCTGCCCAATCCGCCCTGACCTATATATCTTGCCTTCACCATGTGGCCCAGCTAATCTCTGTGCCTCGCTTCTGTGTCTCGCCTCTTCTGCTCACCAAAGGTAAGCAATGCATGCCACCCACTCACCATTTGCCTTGGCCAGGTCGAGGAATGCACCATTCCCTGGCTCCGCCCTTGCCACTACCCGCTCACTGTTCACCTCAGCTGGGTTGGGGAATGCACCATTCCACAGCTCCAGCTTTGCCCTGGGCTTCCACCTGCATGTCGCTGCCCCCTCTGGCCTTAAACTACTCCCATGGGCTGAAGCAATTTATTCAGCCTGCAGCCTGCCATGCTAGATCGAAGGGTTGCTGGGGGCATGGGTGCAGAAAGGCCAAAGTGGTTTGGGAATGGATCAGATGGTTCTTCTTATCTTCAAGAAGATCCATCTGGAAAGCATTGCAGCAGAGTTGCAACCGCTTCTTCTGTCCCTTGCCACCGAGTCTTCGCTCATGGAGATGCTCCATGTGCTCTCCAGATCAGCAGGTACTTCTCTCCACTGCTGCTCTTGCTGGGAGAACAGACTGCAATTTAGCAGCTGTCAGCCACCACTTTGGGTCCTCTAAGTCCCATCCAGAAAGTGCTGCAGCTAAGAGAAACAGCTTTCAACATGGCTGCTGCTTCTCTGTGATGCAGCGCTTTCCAGATGGCACTTAGAGGACACAAAGTGGCGGCTGACAACTGCTAAATTGCAATCTGCTCCCCCAGCAAGAGCAGCAGTGGAGAGCAGAGATGGAGCAGAGCAGCCCCCGAAACACTGCTCTATCAAGCCTTGCTGCGTGGCAAAAGCAGCACATGCATGGAAGCCATGCGCTTGTGCCTCTGCGGAAGCCATGTGTGCATCCCTGCGCAGAAGCCATGCGCAAATGCCTGTGTGGAAGCCATGCATGCACATCTGCGTGGAAGCTTTGCATGCACACATGTGCACACACTCACATTTTCAATGAACCAGTGGTGGGTTTATTTGAAACCCACCACTGCATATGCCATATGTTCTGTATAAAATTTGACTCTATGCCTGTGGGCTTATTGAAATGTTAGTTTTGTTTAGACTATCAACCAGTTGTTCCCTCCTACACACACAGTGTGAGGAGTAATTCTTGTATATGTATACTGATGTAAAAAGATTGAAGAAAAATACTTCCCTATAGTTACCATTGTGTTTGGAAATTCAATTGAAAAGTGAAACCTTGACCCTTCAGTTTTTAGTCCAGCTCTCTGGATTCTCCAAAATGAGAATGTTTAAGAAAATACAAAAGGAAATGTCTTCACATATAAATATATTATACCTGCTTATTGTTTGTATCAGACACTTCTTGAATATTAGTTTAAAGGCCTTTTGCCCCCTTTGGATTGGATTTTGATGCTTCAAATTAAAAAGTCCTTTGTCTCTTTATAATAATTAGAAGAAAGTACACTTTTTCTCAACTGAGATAAGACAAGGTGAATCTGGGTACATGTATCTCAACAGTTCTTAGAACAACATGTCTCTTGCAATGTTAACATACCATGCACTTCAACTGCTGGTTGAAATCAAACAAGTTGAAGTCTACACATTAAAATTGCCAAAATTGAGAAACGGTGTCTTAGATGAACTGAACTTTGTTTTCCTAGGAAACTGTAATCACACTGTCCTTTATTCAAAATCACAGTTCTCACAAACTGTCATCACAGTTTATTTTTGTCTGTATCCTCTCACTTGAATGCTATAAGAACCTCTAGATCAGGGTGTCAAATTCAATTTCATTGAGGGCCACATCAGCAGTATGGTTGTCCTCTTAGGGCCATTTGCATGTAAAACTATAATGAGACCTCCTTCCTTCCTTCCTTCCTTCCTTCCTTCCTTCCTTCCTTCCTTCCTTCCTTCCTTCCTTCCTTCCTTCCTTCCTCCTTCTTCCTTCCCTGTCTCCTTATCATTCCCATCTCCTTTTTTCCTTCTTTCCTCTCTCTCCCTTTCTCTGCATCCAGGCAGTGCTGCTGGTAGCCGTGGCTTTCCCACTTAGAGCAGGGGCCATCCCAGTGAAAGATGAGTGCTTGCGGACTGTGGGGCCAGCTGGAGGCTGGACCGGCAAGTGGGCCATAGAGGTGGTGGAGGTGCTGGTGGCAGGCGCTAAGCTGCTAGTGGGGCTCTGCTACACACTGATCTACATCAACTTTGTGCCAGCCACCCAGATCGGAACACAGTCAGCCTTAGATCTGGCTGTAGGGCTGCCTTAGAGACAGCAAGAGACTGTCCCCGACACCTCAGCCCCGGTCCACCTCATCCCAACCACATACTCTCCCTGGGTGAGGTGGCAAGTGCGTGGTGGCTGGCATCCTGGGTGACGGTCTTGCCACATAGGCTGACTGTGTTCTGATTGCTTCCTTTTCACTGGGGATGCAAGGTCCTGTGCGCTCACTGCCTCTTGTGCCCAGGGGAGTGACCCATCCAGGGCCAAGGTGGCTGGAGCTGGTCCTTCGATATCTCCAGGATGGCCCCACAGGCCAGATCTAACCACATCATGGGGCAGATCTGGCCTGTAGGCCTTGAGTTTGACATATCTGCTCTACATGGTAAATGAAATTTACAAACTACAAAATTTAGATTTAAAAGAATCTGTGTATTAATTGTTCCACATTAATTTTATTTGCAACATATAGCAACATTGGTCAGATCAGGAATATGTAGATATTTTGTTGACCTCTGGGTCTACAATTTTAAATGGTGGGGTGAGAGAAATTTACACAGCCAGATTGTATATTAAGATCAATATAATGATACTAGTATTCTATGGAGCATAATAAATTAACAGGAATTAGATTCCAGATTCTAAAGGATTTGAAATACTTCAAATACAGGGCATGGATGGAGAATCCATTAATTACATCCAACCTCGATTATGAACTTGGGAAATGAAGTAGTAGGACTTAGCATTTAAAATGATCAAGACAGACTAGAGCGATTTATATCTCAAGTTAAAATTTTATGTCATCATTGTCTTTCAAATCTATTATAAAAATCTTGGCTGCATTGCAGAGTAGGAAGGAATCAATTATATACTCATACTATCTGCTAATTTTCTTTTTCATTTCATACATTTGATAAAACTCAACTAAGTAAAACAGTTTCATGTCACATTCTCCTTCGTTCAGATATACCTATGAAATTTCTCCAGTATTTTTGCTAGTGGAAGAAGCAGTCCTAAAGAAAATGATTGAATATATTGGATGGGAAGGAGGAGATGGTATATTTAATCCAGGTATGATGTTCCTTAATGTAAGAAATATGGCAGTGGCTGCATAACAACTATATAATTTATACATTGTAGCATCATGTATTGTTTTATCTTCTGGACTATCCTGTTGCTTATAGTGGGTGGCTTTTTATACATGTAGTTCACATGTTAGGATCAGGTTAAAATGGCAATTGGAACCAGAATTGCCATTGGTAAGCAGTGCAGTTGTAAAATGCAACATCACTTGCACTTAGTGATGGTAATCCCAGCTGTCTCAGTTGCCATTATGGGTCATTAAGCAGAAAGGCATAGAAGAGCCAGGTAAACAATAAGGAGGTGCTCAAAAGGGGGTGGGGGTGGGGATGGGAGGTTCTATTGGCTGTAGTTGACTAGGGAAAGTTCTAGGAGGCCTGGCAGAGGCACTGCATGGGCAGTGATGTGCTGTGGGTGGGAGCTACTTACTGGAATGAATTTTGACTTTCCTGCTGACTTCCCCCTATTGACTTTGCTTGTGGGGAGCCAACAGGAAAAGTCATAAATAGATCATGTGACTTTGGCTCCATGCAATGGCATAATGATGAGCTACTATCCAAGCACCTGGATAGTGATCATATGACCATGGGTTGCTGACAGGGCTAGAACTACAGGAGCTAGTCATACATCATTTTTTCAGCACCAGTGTAACTTTTAACAGTTGCTGAATGAATGAAAGTCAAGAAATTATTGTATTACAAAACTCATTCTAGTTCTTACAGTGTTATGCTGTCTGAGATGTAAATATTCTGCTTGTAGTCATATGATTTTCTCAATGTGCAAGAAGCACTTATAGCCATACAACATTTATAGCTGGATACTTGTAAATTTTACAGCTGAGAATCTGAAATATTTATTAATATATGTAATTGTTTTTTAAGGTGGCTCTGTTTCCAATATGTATGCAATGAACTTGGCAAGATATAAATATTTTCCTGACATAAAAGAAAAAGGCCTTTCTGGGATACCTCAGTTGGTTCTGTTTACATCAGAAGAGGTAATTAACTTTTCTTACAACTTTTCTAGCATAGTACTTTTGAGCAGGAAAATATGCATAAAAGGTTGCAAAAAGAACCAGCATATATGTACACAGACATTAAATCAAAACTAGGATATTAAAAAGGTTCTGGCAAGCAATATATAGTCTGACATGAACTACTGGTAAGATTTGAAAAGTCTCAAAAAGCTTTATTGGAAATATTTCTGCTTACTGAACCTTTGTTTCCTTTACTGAAGTTCTAAACCAGGGGTGTCAAACTCAATTTTTTGAGGGCCACATCGGGGAGGGGGGGGGTCAGGGTGTCCATGGCTGGGGTAGGCATGGATAGGATGGGCATGGACAGCTCAACGTCACTAGTGCCAGGGCACCTGTGGTAGCCAAGTGCTTTAGTTTGTTTTGCTAGTCCTCTGCCAGTGAAAATAGAGCTTCCCATTCCCCGGGTCCTGTTTTTGGCACATTGTCTCCTGCAGCTCAGGGAGACGGCCGTGCAAAATGGAGCCCCCCTGAACTTCATTTTTGCTGGCAGAAGTGGTGTGGGCCAGTCCTTTTTGATGTCCAGGGCAACCCCATGAGCCAGATCTAAGCACCCCCAGGGTAAGAGCCAGCCTGCGGGCCTTGAGTTTAACAGACTTTAAAAAGTCTGTACTTCAACTGCTAGAATTCCCTTGGGAAATGTTGTGCAGGTAGTCCATGCATCTTAAAGCTGCTGAGTTTAAAAAACACTCATCTAGGTACTGTAGAAGATTCATTTTTATGCTTTTCCAGAGAGGAAATATGACATCGCATTTTGGCAGCATAGTTCATTTCCAAAAATTAGCAGCGCAGATATAATTAAATAATTAAATTTTTAAAAAGCTCTTAAAATATTATGAGCAACCACTTCCTGTTAGTGTTCTATGTCTTCTACTTGATCAAATGCCACACCTGAAATATTTTAAGTGCAGTTTTTAATAGGTTGCTTAGCTGACTCTGCTGGTTTTTGATAATTAGCAGGTGCTCCTTAGTTCTTGGATAAATAGAACGGGAAAATTGAGAAAACTCGTGGTAACTTTTTTCCACCTTTTTTGTATGTGTTTTTCCTTACTTCTTCTTTTTCAATTCTCCTAACTGGCAAGTTGCTCTCTAATAATAGTTTTTAATCAAGAAACCAGTTCATTTATTATTATTTTTGTTCTTGCGAAGAGTCCAAGATTCCATTCCGTAGGACGCCATTCTGAACGGGTGAGACTTGTAAAGAACTGGGACTGGCAGATAGCGAATAGTGTGGATAGTGCAAAGAGCATGCAGAGAGTGGAGAGTGGAGAGCGGATAGTGCAAAGAACCAGGACGAGCTGGGATTAGATGAGAGTGTGATTCTGACACTTACAGAGAGAGTGATTCTGAGAGTGAGCCATTCTGAGTGGCATGGAATGAGCGGCATGGAATGAGCTGTGACTGGTGGAGAGTGTGATTCTGAACTGCAGTAAAAGAGATGAAACTGACAGAGAGGGTGATCCTAAACATCCAAAAAACAGCCGAGACTGGACAAGAGCAGGAGAGTGTGATTCTGAATGGCCGAGAATTGCAGAGAACTGAGGAGACTCACGGAGAATCGATAGATCCTATCTGAGAAGAATAATCTCCTAAACAGGCTCCATTTAAATCACCCAACTGATTAGTCAGCCTCCATTAAAATCCCCAATCAGCTGATTGGACAGCCTCCACTTAATCCCACCCAAATCTCATCCATTCCAAACTCCCAAGTAGATGATTGGAGAGTTCATTCAAATCTTCTTCATTCAAATCTATCAAGCAGCTGATTGGAAGATCTCCATGATCTAATAATACGTAACTGATAAAAGAGTCTTCCACAGAACACTAACAAAGCTCCCTGAAGCAACACTTCCTCTTTAAAAACAAAACAAAACAAAAACCAAACAACGTGGCTTTAAGGAAAAATAAAGGAACTTTTCACTACCAACCTCCAATACTTCACTACCTCCACTATTTCATTACCTCAAGACCAATTATTGATAATGCTTTGTCTAAAATAATTGATTTATTATTTAATAGTATAATAATTAATTGTTAAATGACCACTAATTTACTGATTTATTGATTGATAGTGATTTAATACTGTGTCATTGATTATCTAGTTGATTGATTGTTTTACTTTTTGGTAATAAGTAACCTTACTTTTGATTTGTTCTTTAACTTATCAATTAACATTTATTCATTACTAATATTCATTAAGTAATTACCTATCACATTAATTAGCTATTGTAATTGTTTAGTGTACTATTGTCATTGACCATGCCAGTCAAAAACTTGATTGATTTTTAGTAATAAGTAACCTTACTTTTGATTTGTTCTCTAACTTATCAATTAACATTTATTAATTACCAGCATTCATTAAGTAACTGTCTACCTATCACATTAACTAGCTATTGTAATTGTTTAGTGTACTATTGTCATTGACCATGCCAGCCAAAAATTCCAAACCCTCCACTACCAAACACTAACAAAAAAATATCTCTACCAAAGACCTCTCAGACTCCTGCACATGCTTCAAATGTCTTGAAACCATCAATGAAAACAAAAATAACATTAAATGTCACCTATGTGACAATCAAGCCCACCTTACCTGCTTAAACTTAACCAAAAACCTAGCTGATCTCCTACAAACATCAGATACATTTCCTTGTCTATGTCCATCGTGTTTACCTAACCTAAACAAACTAAGTACTCTGTCTGACAGAGTGAAAGCTCTGAATCATTGATTCATTCAATAGAAGAATGCTTAGCAACACATTTTGAAACAACTATACAAGCAAACCTAATCTCTCTTGGAAAAAAAAATACAGCACAGATAAGCGAATACCTTACAGCTCAAAATCAAATCCCAACTCAACAACCATTACCACAATTACTACCTCAACTACAATCACAACTACAACCAAAAATAACCATAAACTACAGCCACAAATAATCACTATCCCATCAAATAGTACCACAAATGATATCCCCTTACTCATCAGAGACATCATGGAATGTGATCAGAAACATCCAAATGCCATCTTATTTGGTCTTGAAGACACCAACAAATCTCATGATATCACCAAAGTTCACAATATCATAAGCAACTCCAATACAACAAACATCTCTCCTGAAGATATCATTGAAATAACCAGAGATGGTCTCGAGTTCAAATACAATGATGGCTCGGCGGCTCCAAGATTCTGTAAAGTTGTTTGCAAAAATGAGTCCAGCAAACGGATATTTATTCATACAATAAATGCCATTTTTAAAACCAATCACATCCATAACAAACTTCGCTCATGACCAGACTTATCCATACTGCAAAGAATCCGCTCCCGTGAACTCTGCACAGAACTCAAAAAACATCTAGACAATGGAGAGAAGGACCTGTACATTGACTACCGTGCTGATTGTATCAAAAGTAAGTCACACAACCCACAATTCCACACCCAACCCTACCTCATACAATCCACCATCACTCAAAACTAGGCACGCACACTCCTAACTACCTCAATTCCAACTACAACTAGCCTTAAATGCAAGCTACTCAATGCAAGAATCCTTGTAAATAAAATACCTGAATTTCTCCTCTTACTAAATATGGCTAAATTCGACATCATATTTGTCTGTGAAACATGGCTCAATGCATCTCTCCCTGACTCCATTACCACAGTAAGAGACTATCATGTTTACTGATCAGATCATGAAATCCGTAGAGGAGATGGTGTTGCTATCTTCTATAAAAAGTCCCTACATCTAAAAAACATCCAAGTTACCCAGGAGCTTGCTCTTCCTGAGACCATCGTCTATGAACTGTCCTTAAATATACATTTTGATTCTTACTATGTTACAGAGCCCCTAATTATGACATCAAACATGTAAACAAGTTAAATTCACTACTAACATGGGCAACACCCTGCCCATACACTTTTATCTTTTTTGGTGACTTCAATCTACCTCATATTAACTGGACCCTAAACGAATGTAAAACTGAACCCATGCATACCCAAACCTAAACCATTTGGTCTGAGTACTTTCCTTTTCATCAGCAATACCTACAACTCAGAGTTACAAATCAGGCAGAGTGCCAGAGCACCTTGAGGAATAAAATAGTTAAAATGCAATGATGACTATCAGCAGCCAACCCTTGCTCATAAAGAGAAACCCTTTAGCAGAGAATTCATTTAAGCTCTTCAGAAAGTGGGTGGGCACGCTTGGGCTACAAAATGCCAAGCTAAAGAGACAAATTTATGAAGTATACAGGGGGCCCAGGCTCAACTCTCTGCATTTCCAAGCTTGTCAGGATCACAATAAAATTAGTACATGCCGCATATATCTAAATAAAGTTCAAGTCTGGTGTCATGTTACTAAACCTTATTATCATGAGAGAAAACTAAAATGAATTGGAGGGAGCATCCACACCCCTATCTCCTATTTTTTTTAAATCTTACTATCAGTGAGCAATCATGTGCCTTGACAACTATGAAGCAATGCAAGAGATTCCTGTCCCAAAGGTGCTTTTTCAAGAGGCAACTGGGATTTCTGAAAACCAAGAACCTGCATAACTGAAGAATTTCTATAGACAAGAGAGTGCTCAGTGAACTGACAAAGCACCTTTTCCCATTCAGAAGAAGCAATCCTTAGATCCATTTTCATCACTTAAAAATACCGGCTGATCTCACTTGCCTCAAAAGATATCCTAAGGAAATAATCCAGATTCAAGGAAAGATCACATGACTCCAGGAAGGAAATAAAAATATTAGTGCCAAGCTTGCATCCAAGAGGCAGGAAGTACACCCCAAAAGGACAGTGCCAGGAACCAGTAAAGCAACCATTTCCCTTTAGGAAAGTCAAGCCCCGAATAAAAGTACCAGCAAAGAAAAAAAATGCGAGAAAAGCAGCTCAGGCTACATTAAGTCTACTGGCAAAAACCATTACCAGTTACAATGTAACAAAGCTTAATGGCAGAGGCAGTTAAA